GTTTGGTAGCTATTCAGTCCTTTCTTTGTTCCTGGCTCCAGAGTTCATGGAACAAGTATTTTTGTAACTGACTGTGGTAGCTGTGTCCTCATTTATTCACTCACTGGAGATATTGTCGTCTTTCAGTTGCAGAGCCCTAGTTGCTGTTTATCTGCTGATTAGGGGGAGGGAGTATTTGTGGATTCAATCTTAAAATAGATTTTTGTCCCAATAAATAATGCCAAGCATTGCAGAGGAGAGGAAGCACATTTCCCATTGTTGAAAGGAAGACTTCACACTGCAGTTTGAATCCAGAAAGTTGTCAACCATTTAAATCTGGCTTTTGTTGTTGTTGTTGTTGGTGGTGGTACCAGGGATCAAACTCCGACCTTGCACTTTCCAGATAGGCAGTGGCACCACTGAGTAAATCCCTAGCCACCCCCTCTTTTTTTTTTTTTTTTTGGTACTGGGGATCAAACTCAGGCCTTTCCACCTGCAAGGCAGGTGGTGGAACCACTGAACCAAATCCCAGCCGTAACTTTCTTTTTTGGATAGTTAAATCCTTAGCTATTATACAGACTCAGCATTCTGAAAAATTAAAATGAATGAAAGCAAGTCTCATCTAGATCTTTCTTCCTACCCAAATGCCACTTCTATATGAAGTGATTCTTGTAAAAATAGTCCCAGCACTCTGGGAAGCTGAGGCAGGAGGATTGCAGGTTCAAGTTCCACCCAGGCCAAATTAGTGACACCCTGTCTTAAAATAAAAAAATAAAAAGCTGGGAGTGTAGCTCAGTGGTCATAGAATGCCCCTGGGTTCTATCTCCAGTATCCTCACCTCTCTCTCTCTTTCTCTCTCTCTCTCTCTCTCTCTCTCTCTCTCTCTCTCTCTCTATATATATATATATATGTATGTATCTTTTTTTATTACTCAGGCATTTATTTAAAGTAGGATACAAAAAAAAATTTTTTTTTCCTGCCTCGCAAGTGCAAAGACCATAGTTTGATCCCTGGAACCCCCTAAACAAAACAAAACAAAACAAAAACACAGTAGGGTGTCTGAAGACTATTATGTTTCAGGCTTAACCAAGTTTACAAAGATATTTTGAAGACAGCTGCATCCATATTTCAACTATGTGATTACTTCTTTGCCCATTCTTCTCTTTTCTTTTGGTACTGGGGATCGAACTCTGGACCTTGCACTTGTGAAGCAGGTGGTGGAAACGCTGAGCTAAATATATGGCCCTCTTTTGATTTTTGAATAGCCACTTTGAGATATGACTCAAGGTAGAATTTATCCTCCTCATTTTGTTCACTGTTGTTTTGGCAAGATCTGATGCTTCATGATTAGACTGACTGCTTGCTCTCTCTCTCTCTCTCTCTCTCTCTCTCTCTCTTTTGGTACTGGAGATTGAACTCAGGTCCTTGCACTTTTGAGGTAGGTGGTGGAACCATTGAGCTAAATTTCCCAGGCCCCCTAATGCTCTCTTAATGTGAAAATCCTCTCATTACAAAAGTTCTCAGAAAGCCTTCTTATGCCTTTTTTTAACATCTTCATCTTAGTACATTGTTATCATCACACATTAAGCCTAGCTTATTGAATCTTGCAGCATTGTAATACCATTTTCCAATATCATCCAGCCACTGGCCTACACTGCAACAGCAGGCCTGCCTGCCATTTTGACCCAAGAGCTTATATTCTTAATTTATATATATTTTTAGAATATATCTATTATTTTCATTCTGATTTGCGATTTTTTGTCATGGTTAATAGATCTTGGGCTTGGAGGGAAATTTGAGTCATGTACTATAACTTTGAGGTATGTGGTCAGTGATGAGGGAAGCCAGCCTGAGCTCTTCAGGGTCTCCTATTTCTCTACTCTGTCTTTCATGCTGGTCAATAGTAAGTAGGTGTATTACATGCATTCTTTTTTTTTTTATTTTGAGACAGGGTCTCACTATGTAGTTGAGACTGACCTGGAACTCACGATGTAGCCCAGGCTGGCCTTGAACTCACAGCAATCCTCTTGCTTCAGCCTCCCAAGTGCTGGGATTACAGCCATGCGCCACCATGTCCGGCTCTCTACGTGCGTTCTTTACAAAGTATTTTAGTATGTGATTTAATTGTGCTTTTTCAGATCATCTTTACACTTTGACCTTCCTTCTGTCTATTCATATTCTTCCCAATATTTATGTTCTCACTTTCTCTGAGTTTTCCTAAGTTTTATATTTCTTCTCCTGATTTATTAAGTGCTATCTTTCCATTTATGTGAAGGTATAAAAGAGAGGAGAAGTTATGTTCTATGAAGTAAGAGAAACTCACACTCTATAGGTTTGATAATAGCTATATGACTTTGGGTAAATTACTTAATCTCAGCTTTCACCACTGCAAAATAGAAATTATATTTATCTTGTAAGGGTGTTATGATTTAGAGACATGGTAGGTAACCAACAAAGTAGAGATCAGTGCTTAATAAATGGTAGCAATGATTATCATTGATTTACTTTTTCTAATCATTTATCTACCAAAACCAAACTTTGACTGTATATAATATGCCTGAGAGGAGGACTGGGACATGATCTTTGTCCTTGAGGATTCTTAGGTTAGCATGTGGTCCTTGCGTGATGTTGAGTTTCAGTGATCTGGGCTGGGGATTTAACTCAGTGGTTCTGCCGCCTGTCTTGAAAGTATAAGGTTCCCAGTACCAAAAAATAAAAAAAATTAAAAAAAAAAAAAAGAAAGAAAGTTTCAGTGATTAAAAAAAAAAAAAGCTGAGCATGGTGGCCTACACCTGTAATCCCTACACTTGGGAGGCTGAGGCAGGAGGATTGCTGTGAGTTTGAAGCCAGCCTGTGCTATATAGTCCAAGGTCAGCCTAAATTACAAAGTGAGACCCTGTCGCCAACAAACAACCCAAAAAAGAGTTTCAGTGAGTCACCTGAAATAGTATGCACACTTTTGTACCTACCTATATGTACTTGCCTAGGAATATCCTGCCAGGTGTGCTTGTTGTTCATGATACTATTTTGACTTCATCATATAATGCCTGTGGGATTACACAGCTCTCTAATACAAATGTACCATTTCACCACCCAAAAAGAAACTCTGTACTCCTTATTATATTCAGCTTCCTAGACCCTCCAGCCCTAGGCAACTGCTAATCTTTTGCCTATTCTGAATATTTTATAGAAATGGAATCATATAATGGTAATTTGGTTCTTTGTGATTGGCTTCTTTTATTTAGTGTAATATTTTCAAGATTCATCTGTTATATTTTGTTTTTGTATTTCCTTTAAAATTCAGCATGGTAGTTGGCACACAAAGACTTTTTAAAAATAAACAGTGTTGGAATGCTTTCAGAGTTACAGAAGAATTGCAATGATAGTAGAGTTCACATATACTCCTGCATCCCTGTTATTAATATTTCACCTTAGTATGGAACATTTTTCATGATTCATGAACTGATATTAATGAACCAGTTTTATATATATATATATAACTATATTAACTAAAGTTGATACTTCATTCAGATTTCCTTAGGTTTTTTAGGAGATCAAATCCAGGGGCACTCTACTGCTGAGCTACATCCCCAGCCCTTTTCTCTTTTCTTTTCTGTTCTTTTCATTTTTTGAGACAAGGTCTTGTTATGGCCTTGAACTCACTATATAGCCCAAGTTGGCCTTGAACTTGTGGTTGATCCTGCCTCAACTTCCCAAGTGCTGGGCTTATAGGCATGTACTACCATGCCTGGCCATTCTCAGCCTTTTAAATTTTTTTTATTTTGAGACAGAGTCTCACTAATTTGCCCAGGTGGGATTTAAACATGCAATTCTGAGCTTCCCAAATTCTGGGATTACAGGGGAATGCTGCTGCACTGGGCTCAGATTTCCTTAATTTTCATCTCATGTCCTTCTTCTGTTCTAGGATCCCATCCAGGCTATTATATTACATTTAGTCATCATGTTTTCTTAGGCTCCCCTTGACTGTGACCATTTCTCAGATTTTCTTGTTTTTGCATAATAAGCTTTTCAGCTGTACATGTTGAAGGATTTGGGGCAGGAGTTGGGTGGAGGTATAGCTCAGTGATAGAAAGCTTGCCTACAGTAACATGTACAAGGCCCTGGGTTTGATTCACACCACTGCAGAAACAAATATGTTGAAGGAATTTAAATTGTTATCCCTGTGGGGAATAGGCTTTTCTCTTTATGGCACCTTAAGGACAGACATTTAATATTTACCATTTAATTTATAAAAAGACTTACTGTATGTCAAACACTTCCTCAGTAAAGCCATACTACTGATCTTTCAAGTGGGTGCTAACTGGACAGAGTGAGATTAAATAACTAGGGGTGTGGGGGAAGTTGCCACTGCTGTGGCCTCTTCTCATTGTTACTATTTGTTAATATTGTTATTATTATTATTATTATTGAGATATACAGTGTACTGTAACAGAAGAATGCCTTTGGAATAAGGTAGTCCATTTAGCTGGTTATTAGCTATGATTTTTTGGAATATCGTCTCTCTGGAATTCAATTACCCCACTTATGAAATTGTCTTGCAGTGTTTGAGAATTAAGGAGGATTTAAGAAAGTCCCTCTTACAGTGCTGTACATGGCAGATGAATAGTAGTTGTTTTGTTTTGTTTTGTTTTGGGTACTGAGATCAAACTCAAGGCCTTGCATTTGTGAGGTGGGCGTGGTGCCACTAAGCTAAATCCCTGGCCCAGTAGTTATTGATATTAGAAAAAAAAATTGGAAAGGGGAAACAAGATGAACAAGATGAAAAAGCAATGTAGGAGGGGACTTCTTTATTTTGACATTTTCTTTAGTAGGCAGAATACTAAAGATGACCTTGGTTTGCTTACATCTTTGGTTTTATCTGTAGGATAACTTCTTTGCCAAACCGGAATCTTTGGGTATTTTTTGGTTGGTATACTGTGGCTTTCCAGCATCTTTGAATAATGGTGCTTGGAGATCTGTGAAAGGTTAACATTGTTCTAACACAGCTGTTGCTTCTGTAGGTGCTGTACGTGCGGAACAATACCATTTTAAAGGAAGCCTTTTCATTCTTAAGGTAAGGATACTAAGCAGTGTAGCTAACAATAGCATTTTTATTTCTTCTTCTTGTCAACTTGTGTGTCTATTAAATATCTCAAGCTTTAATCACATGCCATCTTGGTCCTTCCTTATTTTCAGTGAAAGGCCATTCCATTTGACTATTTGCTCAGGTCAAAATCCTTGGAGTTATCCTTGACACTGTTACTTTTCTCACTTTACACTCAATTCTTCAATAGAACACATTGACCCCACTTTTAAAATATACAGAGTTAATCCATTTCTTACCTCCAGTTTTCAGCCTCATGTTTTCTGTTTTGCTAAGACACTTGGGACCAACTCCTCATTTTCTCATCATCTTTCCTATTGTTACCCTTCTTCCTAACTGATCCCCCTGGGTTGGTTTTGTCTTCTCTTCAAACTGAAATCAGGGTGATTCTTTCAAAATAAAATTGGCTCACATCATTCTTCTGCTCAAAATTCTGCAAGCTGGGAATTTAGCTCTGTGAGGCTGCCACCTGCCTCGTAAGTGCAAGGTTTATAAGAGTTTATATAATCTGTTCTCATTTTATGCTTTGCCACATGAGCTTCTTCCCATTCCTGGATAATCTGAGCACTCTCCCACCCTAGGATCTTTGCATATTCTTCCCTCAGATAGCCATGTGGCTTGCTCCCTCATTTTATTCAGATTTATACCAAACTCTCATCTTATCAGAGAGGTCTTCTCTAACAGAATCTCCACCTCTGTCACCTTGTTTCTGCATATTTCTTATTGGCAGAAAATACTTCCTGAGCTGGGCATGGTGGCACATACCATAATCCTAGCACTTAGGAGGCTCAAGGCAGGAGGATTGAATTAAAAGCCAGCCTAGGCTGTGTAGTGAGACCCTGTCTTAAAAAACAAACAAACAATAAAAGATTTTACCACTGTATTTTGATATTGACCCTCAGTTACTTGGTAAAACAAGTGCTAATGCCTTAATTTTATATATAAATAACCGAGGTCCAGGGAGATTAATCTTGCTCTAAGATGGGTTAGAATTAAAATTTTTAAAAAAGAGGATTAAATGTCAATCCAAAAATTATTTATTTTACTGTACTGAATATAGAGTGTACCCTCTTTATTGGTTTTTTTACATGCTCATGAAATACATTTGGTAGTTTTTTTCTCTATTCAGCAGATATTCTCCAAGTGACAGGCACAGGATGTAAAATAATGAATTGCATGTCTTCCTGGGCTACCTAGCACTTATGACCGGATTATTAGTCCTTCACATTTACTGAAGTCTTTCTCTTCCATGTTATTGTATTTTCCTATTATTAGTCTGTCAACTAGTATTTTGTTTTGTTTTTTTTATTTTTAGAGACAGAGTCTAACTGTGTAGTTCAGGCTGGCCTTGAACTCATGGTGATCCTTCTGCCTCGGCCTCTTCAGTGCTAGGATTGCAGGTGTGTGCCACTATACCTGACAGTCAAGTACTATTTAATAACCACCTACTATGACACCATGCTAGGCATTTTACATTTTATCTCTAACTTTCACAAAACACTATAGGACAATATAAATATGGTCATTTCAGGCCGGGGATTTAGCTCAGTGGTTCGGGTACCTGTCTCACAAGTGCAAGGTACTGAGTTCGAACCCTGGTACCAAAAACAAA